GGGAGAGGGAGGAGTCGGGCGCTCTCGGGCCTCCTGCCGTGCTGCCCGCCGCGGTCGCTTGGCCGGCTCGCGCCGCTCCACGATGACGTTGACGCGGCCGGGGACCTTGCGCAGGACGGTGGCGGCCAACTGCACCTGGCTGGGGGCCCCGGGTCCACGCACCAGGTCCTGGTCGGCCGTTCTCCTCGGCCTCCTGCCTCTGCCCCGGGTAGCGGGGCCCTGCGCCGTTGCCGGCTGCCTGGGCTCCTGTTTGTTCCCGGGGCTGGACACCCTGCTCGCTCCCCCAGGCACGGGGACTGCCTGACCAGCTGGACTCCCAGCTCCAGTTAGCGGGCTTGGACTACAGCTCCCCCCGACCATCTCACCCCCATCCGTGGGGAGCTGCACCTCCTCCGCCTGTGGCCCCTCAGCTCCCGTCTCTGCAGGGAACACGCTCCTGGGGACAGGAGTCACCTCTGACCTCTCAACTTCCATCTCTGGGGCAGAGGTCGAGAGTCGCTCCTCTACCTCCGACCTTTGACCTCCTGGCTCCACAGCAGGGAATGTCCTTGGGCTGTGCTCCTCCACCTCTGACCTTTGACCTCCCATCTCCACGGTACCAACTGTCCTCAGGAGATGCTCCTCCACCTCCGACCTTTCACCTCCCATCTCCACGGTACCAACTGTCCTCGGGAGATGCTCCTCCACCTCCGACCTTTCACCTCCCGTCACCACAGCGACCAATGTCCTTGGGTGGGGCTCCTCCACCTCCGACCTTTCCTCTCCCGTCTCCATGGTAACGGATGTCCCCAGGTGGCCCTCCTCCACCTCTGACCTTTCACCTCTCGTCTCCGGGGTGACCAATGTCCTCAAGAGGTGGCCCTCCACCTCCGACCTTTCACCTCCTGCCTCCGCTGGGCCAACCGTCCTCGAGAGGTGGCCCTCCGTCTCCGCGGCGACCAGCGTTCCCAGGCGGTCGCCCTCCACCTCCGAACTTTCACACCCCACCTCCGGGGTTACCGGAACCCTCGGTGGGCTCTCCTCCGCGTCCGGCCCCTCCTCACCCCCCGTCTCCAGGGCGGCCGGCGCCATCGACAGATGCCCCTGTGCCTCCAGGGGGTGGGGCACAGGCAATGGCGGCGGCTCCCCCTCTGCCCTTTGACCCGTCGGTTCCTGGGGCCCGAGGCCGGCAGGGAGCAGGCCCCCATCGGGGGGCGGTGGGCTCGGGGCAGAGGTCGGAGCCCCCTCGCGAGGGAGGTCTGGGCTGGGAGGTGGCGGAGGTGGCTCATCCTCAAACAATTCTTCGGGCAGTTCCGCGCTGATGTGGATCTGGAGGTCACGGGCAGGGACGGGGGCCTCGTAGCTCAGGGGCCCACAGACCACAGGCTTGGGAGGCGAGGGCTCCCGGGGCAGCTGCGCCTTGCGAGCCCCCCGCAGCCTCTCGCTGGTCCGCGTGCCCACCCTCTCGCTCTGGGCCTTGGCAGGATGACGGGCCTTCTTCTGCCTCTTCAGGCGCAGTTCCTCATTCAGCTGGCTCTCGTCGTCCTCCGTCCACTTCCACACCTCGTCCTTGGCCTGGTCCAGGTCCTTTCGGGCTGCCTCCACTTGTTCCTGTCACCGGGGAGGCGGGAGGGAGCAGGAAGAGGAAGCGGGGTGGGGGAGGGAAGACGGAAGGACAGAAGGGGATAAAAAGGAGAGAGAGAGAGTGAGAGTGGGAGGTCAAGCACAGTATTCCCCAACGGTCACCACACTTTCTACTCACAAACACTACACCAGGACAATTGCCTGCCATTTCCACAAGATGCCCCCACACCCCCCCCCCAAAACAACAAAGGTTGATTGTCCCCGAGTTACCCCCCCCCCCCCCCCCCCACCCCCCCCTCCCTCCCCAATACAGAGACGCCATCCACCCCAGGGCCTAGTTACCGCTGCAGCCCCCCCACCACCCCACCTACCCATCAGGGATACCATCCATCCCAGGACCTAGTTACTGCTGCCCACCCCGCCCCCTTCAGGGATACCATCCACCCCAGGGCCTAGTTGCCACTGACTGCCACCCCGCCCCGCCACCACCATCCCCTCTCAGGTAAGCCATCCATCCTCAGGCCTAGCCATCCCCAGGATCTTTGGATCAGGGCCAGGCCAAGAGTGGGCCCTCAGTGGGGCAGTGGTGACTGGCTCCCACCCTCAGAGTGGCCCACGCTGAGGTACGCCCATGAGCATTGGACACGGTGTTAATGAGATGGCAGGGGGAGCAGGCAGTGTCTCCTTCGACAAGATGCTATACCTCAGCCTGTTTCAGCTCCTCCTTGCTCACAGCTTCAAGGGACGCCTCCAGGTAGTTCATAGCATACCGCTCGATTGGTGTTAACTGGGGGGAGGGGGGAAACAAAAGGAAGCACGTTAGTGACGAGCACAGAGTGAGAGAGAGAGGGGCACACAGTGTGTGTACACGTCCCTGTACTGGTGAGGGACGGTGTTAGTGCGGACAGATTTGGACTGGGAGCGTAGAGGAGAGGGGGGGTTCAGTGCAGCACAAAGCCCAGCACCTCCAGACTCCGTGTCATTACCTGCTCGACCAGCGCAGCAATCTCCTGCTCAGCTTTGGACAACTCTTCCTCCTCATCTCGTGTCGAGCTGTCCTCTCCATCCAGGGGAATGTTCTCATTGAACTCAGCCAGCTCCGCAACCTGCTCTGCCTTGGCCTGCGAGGCTGCTCGGATATCCTCCTCATCCTCCGCCCTGCACAGCGCCTGGGAACAGAATCAATCCATCGGTACACAGCGAGGTGACAGTGGGCGGGAGACAGACAGAGGGCGTGTGCATGCACACAAGGGAGGGAGGGGGAAGAGGGAGACAGATGGTGCGCATGCGCACAAGGGAGAGAGGCGCAGACAGCGGGGGGGGGGGGGGGGGGGGGGTAGAGAACAATAGCAGATCAGAGAGAGGGAGAATGAATGTGAAAGCGAAGACGAAAAAAAAGTTTACAAGCCTCACCCTGGATGACCCAGCATCCCTGCCTGTGGTCAGCTCACTGGCTGATACCAGGACCATGATAGAACGGAGGGGGAGAGGCGCAGACAGCGCATGGGGGGTGGTGGGGGGAGTACTGGCCGCTACCGGAGGAGCGTGTCTTACCGCTGAGATGTCGGAGTTGTGGGAACGGACTCTCCCCTCCCGACAGCAATGCAGTAAAATATTAATCTGCGACCGCCCAGTGAGGATCACCAGTGACTGGGTGGAAACGTGACGCACACTGGTACCCAGGGTGGGCAGTCGGTCGGAGGTCACAGCACGCTGTCCTGGGGAGAGCGCAGGAGCGGACCACTCTGTAAACGCTGTGGGGGGGGGGGGGGGGG